AGTTTCCCTAACTCAATTACATTACCACTAAAGTTCAAAGTTAGTCGGGCAACACATGCCACAGATCAGGTTCCAAAATGTCAATATACATGATTTTAGTGATCTTTTAAAAACTAAAATAGCCACCAGATGAAATTGGTTGAAGGGATGTTGATGATACAGCTCCACATGCTTGCCCACTAAATTAAAGTCTGAATGCAACCCACACAATAGGTGAAAGTATGTTTTGGCAGCTTTATATTTGGAACCTCTAGACAGTTGACTAGTTATAACATTAACAACCCACACTAGCTAATAGCAAATAACAAAGTTATTGATTTGGGCTGACACACCACAATGTCACATGGTCACAGTGCACATAATTGCCATCTGGGCCAGCACTGGTGACAATATTACAGTATATTTTTGTACCTGATCTAGTTGATGCAATCAACTGGCTACCAAGTTCTGTTATTTTTTCTTTCTTCTTTTTTCTGTTTCTAAGATCCCTTTCCAATGTCTGCAGTCAATAAATAAAATAATGTTTACCATATTACTGAAGACAAGGAATTAATATAAGGTTGTATTATTACGTTGACATGAGATGAAAGCTATGTGTGGTTTTAAATACATAAAACAAGCAGCCTATCGGCTGAGATAGCTCCGCTGTTAGCAATGCACATTTCAATTAAAGAACTGAAGATACATGTATCATTAGAAAATGAACAATATGTATAGTATCAAAGCAATCGGACTTGCAGTTTTTAACAAGAAGTCAAAAATATTAACCAAAATTAGAGAATTGAAGATATCATCACGAAATGAACAAATCTGAGAAAGGTCTACATGTAGTATCTATATATGTAATATCAAAGCAATCAGACTTACAGTTTTTAACAAGAAGTCGAAAATATCACTTTCTACCAAAAATGACAAAAATATTCACCAAAATTAGAGAATTGAAGATATCATCACAAAATGAACATATCTGAGAGAGGTCCACATGTAGTACCTATATATGTAATATCAAAGCAATCGGACTTGCGGTTTTTAACAAGAAGTCGAAAATATCACTTTTACCAAAAATGACAAAAATATTCACCAAAATTAGAGAATTGAAGATATCAACATGAAATGAACAAACCTCAGAGAGGTCTACCCAAGGTACATATACACCAAGTATCAAAGCATTCAGGCTTGTAGTTTTCAAGAAGAAGTCGAAAAAGTAAAACATTGCCACGGACGCCGGACGCCGACGGACAATCACTCATATGATAAGCTCCACTCGACAAAGTCGACAGGAGCTAACAAGTGACCAGTTATGCATATGTCAATAGTGTGTTTTTGCTAACGTAGTATATGTCAGTAATATATTATCCTTTAGTATATACAATGTATATACTTACATTATAAACTATTTTAAGTTGTTCAGTATCCTCTTCTTCTGGTGAGACAGCCTGTGGAGAAACTAACTTTTTCTCAGTATCATCCATCCATGCTATCAATGTACCCAATTCACCATCAAATTCATGTTTTAATTGGGAATCAACCAACACTTTCTTAACAGGAGGAACTTCTTCATCAAATCTTCTACTTGACTCTATTTTCTCTGTAACAGTTTTTGTAACTATTGTTTCTGTAATTGTTTTACCACTATCAGTGTAGGTTGTACTGGTTGTAGAAGTGGAAGGAGTAGTTGATATCTGCAATAAAATCGCAGCAAAATTCATACCTAACATGATAACAAAACACATGTTACTATGGTCAACCCCCTAGTTTCCTGAATATTTACATCACGTTTGAGGTATGTATGGGGGTCTAAAAACTAACTCTGCGACGCGATTGTGCGACTCACTGAATGTTGATTATTGCACTCAACGACAGGTATCGCAGTGTTACTCTGCGAAGAGCACGATTCCCATTGGTTGGATGGTCGAAAAGCGTGAATCTCAATGGTCGATCGATGTAAGAGTACACAGCATGGCTTAAAATGTTCAGTTTTAAAGGGGAACTAAATAGAGCCTAATTTGGTGTTTGTATTTATCAAGTTATGTATATTGATTATAAATTTGAAAAAAAACAAGCAGCCTATCGGCTGAGATAGCTCCGCTGTTAGCAATGCACATTTCAATTAAAGAACTGAAGACATCATTAGAAAATGAACAATATGTATAGTATCAAAGCAATCGGACTTGCAGTTTTTAACAAGAAGTCGAAAATATCACTTTTTACCAAAAATTACAAAAATATTCACCAAAATTAGAGAATTGAAGATATCATCACAAAATGAACAAATCTGAGAGAGGTCCACATGTAGTACCTATATATGTAATATCAAAGCAATCAGACTATTGGTTTTTTACAAGAAGTCAAC